TAACTGATGGATGGCATATGGGTCATTATTCATGTGGTAGTTTCTTATAGTGACATTGTATGACCCATGGATGATATAAGGGTCATTGGTCATGTTTGTTGGTTGGTAATTGCTTACAGTGTCATGGTATTACCCATGTACGACATATGGGTCATTGGTGATGTGGTAATTCCTTATATTGTCATGGTATGGCCCATAGATGACATATGCATCGTTGGTCTTGTTCATTAGGTGGTAGTTGCTTATAGTGTCATGGTATGAGCCATGGATGACATATTGGTCATTGGCCATGTGGTAGTTGTTTATAATTTCATGCTATGACCCATGGATGCCATATTGGTCATCGTTCATGTTGATTCTGATCTCTCGTTTTTGACTTCACCACACACATCTCGTATTTTGCATCCGTTGTATCGTCGGAGACTTCCTCCTTCGACAGAGCATTTAGAACTTTGTTGATCTTTGTATCGTCATTCAAAAATCGTCGGAGATGAGTCTCCATTACTCTCATTATTGATTCTAAACTTTCTAGGACTTCTCGAATGGTAGAGATGAAATTTTCATTCGAGGTTGAGTTTGATGCAAAGAAAATCCATTAATTTCATTTATAGGGATACGTTTTTAATTACCATTGAATTTAGAGAAGATGGTTTAACAAAGGAATTCTTATTATTTTATATATGGGTAAACCGTGTGTTAATGTGGGTAGAAAGCAAGTTGACGACATTATGTTATGCTATGTATGTATATTCACCATCCCAAATAATACCCATATATTAATTACTAGAACCCTTTCAATACCTGTCCTGTATTCTATAAAATCCTATAAACATGCATATTATCTACCATGACATCTTATGCATCTTACCTCATTTGAAACGAATGGCTTATTCATCAAATTCTAACATACTTCAAATATTTGTCTTCTAACATTAGATTAGTTTCTTTGATGTTGTAAAAATCTATTTCAATTTTTTATTCTATGTTGTTCTAACATTTTTATGTCAATCTTGTATAATTTGTTATTATGATTCATATTACAAGCGTATATTGATTAACAATTTCAAAGCAAACATGAAATTGATAAATATAAATATAGATTGAGTTGATTTGTTTTGACATAAAAAACTCTTTGTAATCCTACATTAATGATTGTATTTAGAAGGGTAATTAGGTCATTTTGTCAATAATTAGTGGGTTCTTGATATGCATAGATAATTGCACTGATTGTTTACTCAAAAAAGAAATTTTTTTAATAATGTGTTTTGACAAAAATACCCTTAGTAATCAAATATTTAGAATTATTTCAAGGGAAATTTGGTCTTTTTGCAGTCTATAACTTTTAGGTGCCATGATGTTTCCGACACTCTTATGTCGTATCAATTCTTTAGACCCTTCCAAATGTCTGCAATCTTCCTGAAGATCAAACTGCCGAATATACAGATTTTGACTTGGATTATTGTAATGTTAGATCCGAATATACAAAAGACATCATATCCACGAGAATTTGGTAATTCTCAACAAAGATTAACTTATGAATGTATATCTGATGAAATATAACTTTATTTATTAGTTATTAACTGTATATTTTAACTTTTGAAGTTTGAAAAAGATGTATGCAGTGGAGGAAGAAAGTGAGGTGTTCAAAGAAGCTATGGGTCCCAAAGATCTTAAGGCTAATGTATTTATACACAAATATGGAGCCCATAAAAACGTTGAAGCTATGTATAGAAAATGAGTGGTATGTGTAATTTGAGTAATTTTATGTAATTTGATTTAATTTATTTTTAGTGTTATTTGTCTTGATATTCATAAGGATCATCTCGAGATAATTTATTTGCTTCAGATGATCCGCATATCAAGAGGGCCTACTGGGTGTTATGAAGGTATGTATAGTGTATACATAACATCTTTTATATAGTTGATTAATGCATCTTTATAGGTTGTGCAATGTATTTGCCACGTAAATCATTTGCTTTTGTGTTAATGTCAAAGATTAGATATTAGAATATTTAGTGTTATGTTGTATAATTTGCAATAGTTATTGAACCTGATACATCTGATTGATAGTTTTTTCAATGTGTCCTCGTAGGCAAACAACTACATAATTAGTATTTTGGTTGGTGTGGTCCGGATGCTGGAGATTACATACTTTATGCTGACGGTACCTTGGAATTTTTTAGTAGTGTAGATGTTGTTCATAAACTTACAACAGAAAACATCACGTTCCAATGTGAAAAGGAAGGTCATTCCGTTGAAGAGGTATTTCTAGATGGAAAAGATGAGGATGAGGACCCACAAAGGTATTGCAAGATGTATCGTTGGTACGTAGAGTATGATGGCCTTCGCAGGTTTGTTAGGAAAGTGGTTGAAAATAGAAATTAATATTTTGTAAATGTTGTGAATCCTCTTTGGATTGTGCATATATATTTGTAAATGGATGTATATATATCTTTTAGGAGACAAAAATAGAAATAATTATAATTATTAAGCATTAATGACTTTCAATATTGTTTATATTATGTTAGTTAAATTTAATTGGTGTGCTATAATTATCAATCCGGTCATATATGTTAATTTACTGTAGGTTACTTTATTGATAACGGATGTATTTTGTATACAAATTTATATTGTTTAAGTTGTTATTTTGTTAATAACTATAATAAAGTTTATACATTTGTTATGACATAATATCCATCCACCACAACGAAATCAAAACCAAGGGTCTAAGCTTCCCTCATACATTGTTTCTTTAACCAAGTATCCATGCTACAAATTTTCTTCACCATTATCAAATCATCAAAGTGATTCACTAGAATTGTTGTATCAAAGAAAAAATCCTTGAAAAAAAATCCAAGCGACCTATTTTTGGTTACTTTTTATTGATGCAAAAGTTTCAACAATTGTATGGATTCATAATTAGTAACTTTGTATGTCTTCCATACTTTATAGTAAATTTCTAATTATTATAGTACATTAACCTTGAAAATTAGCACATATATAATTACACTCCATGTCATAACATCGCTCTTACAAAACCATTTAGTAACATGCATTGAACCATATGTTTAACCATACTATTTCTGCAAAAGTTCACTGCATATAGTATATAGAATATGGATACACATTAAATACAAATATATTTCTATTGATTTACAAATAATAACACTAAATGTGACTAATATCAAACTTAATGATTAACTCATGTGACTAATAAAAATCATTCGATGCACATTTGTGATATGGTGCGGCTATTCGAAATCCATACAAGCACTTTAAAATAAGAAGTAAAAATACACATAAATGGTAGGCAACGTATAACACACACTCAACTTCATTCCCATTTATAGCTATGAGACCATATGTATCAATGTTTTGCTACACTGAAATCATATGACACAAACTCCAGCTTATGAGTTAGCAAGCAAAACATTTACTTCGTGTGTCGATTTATGACATTTGGACATTTTTTTGTCACTTTTTGTTACTCTAGTATATTTGTTACTTTTTTATGTATAGAGTAACTAATGCGTTGAACTCAATCTTTTATAGTCACGCCTCCCAATTAATAAGTGGTTGAACGTTCCGCCAAAATCTTTTAGTTCACTTCAAGTACTTAATTATTAGAAGGTGTGACAATACAATTTCAAATAGTCACACGATGGAGACATTCAACCACATAAAATATCGTATTAGTGACTGTTCGTTTTCGACATCGAGTGACCAAAGCCCGTTTCTATAGTAGTGTGAGTTTTCATAGGTTACACTCACTATAATTGAACGACAACATAACGTATCTTCAATGACCCGACATTTCCTCTCATATTCTTCGAAAAAAAATAACCGAATAAATTTTCTATAATGATAGATTTTTTACGTGGATATAGGCCAGTTTTGTACAACTATATATATATATATATATATATATATATATATATATATACACACACACACACACACACTCTGCGGACAACAATAAAACTCTTTGACCTAAATAACAAAATACTAATATCAAAGAAAAGGTACTTCAACTTTAAACTTGACAAATACTTTTAATAAGTTATAGTTATAAAAAATTATTTTCAAGATTCCTATATTTCAAACTCTATGAATTTACCAATATTACGTTGACATTTTCAAAACCACATATATTCATTGGTAACCAAAAAATGTAAGTTTGCACTCCCTAAAGTCTAGGATGTGTGAATCACTATAAGCTTATTATTCTTATCATTATTGTTATGCCTAGTCATTAAGACACCAATTGTATTTAAATCAGTAGTGTTATAAGACACACTTCAGTGCAATATTTGTTCAATAATGGAAGTGATATTGATGTAATACTTTTGGGTATTGCTCGATGTAATATTTATTCCATAACGGAAGTGTTGTTTTTGTTATATTTTTATGTAATTTTACATCTTTTAAAAGTTGTTATTTTTTCTGTGCATTATTATACAAATAAAAGTTGAAGTTTTTAGCTGCTGGTTAACAGCCCGACATAATCGAGAAGTTCATGCCCGACATATTCCAGAAGTTCATTGAAATATTCAAAGAATTATACAAAAATAAATTAGTTTGAAGATAATTTATAAATATCTGTTTTACAAAATTATATTTCATTGACTACCAGAGATAAAAGGTGAGCAAATTGACAAATTAATCAACCATACACACCTACTACTGAAAAGGTATAAGTAAAGATCACATCATAAATAAATAACAAGAAGAAAACAATACGTCCAAAGACTTAATTGGGTGGATGATACAGCGACCAGTATTAAATATATTTTATGTATTATTAGAATAAGTGTAACATATGATCACATGTGAAGTATCGAATTCAAAAAAAATGGTGCCAGTCAATCGTGCGTATTTTAATCATATCTAACAAACAAACATTTTCATTATATACTGACACAAGCAAAACCATACATAGTCACCCATATCCTCTATACACTTACAGAAACATGACCACACACACATAGTTACCAATCTCCATGATGATGTCTTCTTCTGGGGTAAACCATAAAAATTCTTTAATTCCACTGGAGGAGATCCTCTCGGCCACCCGAAACTTCAATTCAGAAAATCTGATAAGAGAGGGTCAATTTAGCAAGGTCTACAGGGGAATACTCTCTGGACAATGGCAATACCGGAGAGTTGCCATCAAACGCTTTAATAAATATGATGACTACCAGCCGGACACACTCGAAAATGAGCTTGAAATGGTTTCTAGCCTCAACCATGAAAACATCATCCCTTATATTGGTAATTATTGTAATGGGAAAGAGATGATTCTAGTTTCTGAATATGCTGAGAATGGAAGCCTTGATCATTATCTCCGCGACAACATGAATAGACCTCGCCTAACATGGGCACAACGTCTGAAGATTTGCCTAGGGGCTGCAAGAGCTCTTAAATACCTTCACTCTGGTCTTGGGGATTACAAAAGAGTGATACACAGAGACTTTAAAAGCCAAAACATATTGTTAGATAAAAATCTTGAAGCAAAAATTTGTGGTTTTGATTTCTCAATGTTAATCGACCCAAAGCAGCCAATAGTCTATCAACATCCTATGGCTACACTATCATACTTGGATCCTGTTTACCATGAAAGTGGTATCGTCAACACAGAATCAGACGTTTATTCGTTAGGGGTGGTACTATTTGAAATGTTGAATGGGATGTTGGCTTCTAATGGGAATGACATCAGTTATGTTCACCCACAAACACTCATAAATTTGGTCCGAAACTGCTACGACGATGGACTGGACAAATTAATTGCTTCTAATGAAAGAAATCAATTTGACATTCGTTCTTTCCATTTGTTTAAGGAAATTGCATATAAATGCATTAGTTTGAAATTAGAGGAACGCCCAACCATGGGCATGATCGTCGACATGTTTAAACAAGCACTGGCTATTGAAGTAAGTCTTTTCATTTAAAATATTTTGAACATGATAAAGTATCTAATTTCTTTTTCTGGCTGCGCATTTTGTTTCTTTGAACCAGAAATAAGACCTCATTAATTATCACATTATGTTTTCCTCCAGATGATTAAAGTAACTTATAGTATATGATTAGTTATCATATCTTTGTTTATCGGATTTTCTTACTTGTCAAACTTGCTATACTATTGTGATCTTTATGAACCCTTAGTAAAGACCTCTAAGCCAACCCGTCTTTGTTTATATTCACAGAACCAAATAGCTGCGTCTACCATTATCGCACTAAGCCAGCCATATCAAAGTCAAGAGAGTTTTCTGATTCCACCAGAAGAGATCAGGCTGGCAACAGGATACTTCGGTCCTGAATCTGTGATTACACCTATGAGGCCCGGTAAATATCATGTGGCCCACGTAGGACAACTGTCAGAAGGGTGGCAAAACCGAAAAGCTATATTCAGATGGTTCTTTCATGATGATATGCCATTGTTTTATAATGAGGTTCAAATGGTTCACAGATTCCAGAATGAAAACGTCATCTCTTTTATCGGCTACTGTATCCACCACAACAATTTATTTTTAGTGAACGAATACGCCATCAATGGAAGCCTTTATGATCATCTACGTGACCCTATTAAGAGGGGTTCCTTAACATGGGAAAAACGACTCGAAATTTGCATAGGCGCTGCAAGAGGAATCAAGTACCTTCACTCAGGTCTGGGGGAGCAAACTAGAGTAATACACAGAGATGTGAAGAGTGCAAGGATATTATTAGCTGACAAAATGGAAGCAAAAATTAGTGGATTTGGTTTGTCAGTATTAATCGACCCATATCAGCCACAAGTCTACAGATTAGTTGAGGGTACCGAAAGTTACATGGATCCCGTTTATAGTGACAGTGGCATCGTCAGAACAGAATCAGACATTTACTCGTTTGGAGTAGTAATGTTTGAAATGTTGAGTGGCATGTTGGCCCATGAAGAAAGGAGCATTGGTAATGCTCCACCACAAAGACTCATAAATTTGGTCCGATTCTATGATGATGGCCGACTGGACAACTTATTTGATCCTGTTATAAGAGATGAAAGCAATATTGATTCCATCAAGGCGTTTAAGAAAATTGCATACAGATGTATCAGTTTGAACATAAGAGATCGGCCTACCATGAACAGGATCGTGAGCAGGATTGAGGAAGCACGAGACATTCAAGTAAGTATATTCATTTAAAGGAATCATGCATCATACAACATTATAAAACGTTCAAGAAAGTTGACTGGAATTAATTTTATATACAAGATTAAAATCTCTTGAAGCAAACAATGAAACAAAAATTTATATGCGGTTGACCAGTCTCAAATCTATAACTATTCTGGTTTAACATTTGCATATAAAGAATTATTTTGGAGAACCCGATGTCATACTTGTAGACAATGGGAAAAATGGTACCACATTTCTAAATAATTAGGTTTCGTTGGTTTATATTCGCAGCACAGAGCAGCTTCTTCCATTACCAGACGAAGCCGAACATTAGAAAGTTATCTAATTCCATTAAAGGAGATCATGTTGGCAACAAAAGACTTCAGTCGTGATAATTGGAGAGGAGAAGGTGGCTTTGGCAATATCTACGAAGGACATCTTTCTGAACGCTGGCACAATTGCACCGTTGCCATAAAAACCCATGATACCCAAGGTTACCAAGGATATGACGAGTTCCATACTGAGCTTAAATGTATTTCTAGCTTCTTCCATGAAAACATCATCCCTTTCGTCGGTTATTGTGATGAAGACAATCATATGATTATTGTTACCGAGTATGCTAGCAATCAAAGCCTTGATCATCATCTCCGGGACCTACATAAGAGGAATTGTCTTACATGGGCACACCGCCTCAAGATCTGCTTAGGAGCAGCAAGGGGACTCGGCTACCTTCACTCAAACGGAGTAATACACAGAGACATCAAGAGCGGGAACATATTGTTAGACAAAAATATGGAAGCCAAAATTTGTGACTTTGGTTTGTCAAAAAAGAACTTTAAAAATCAGCAAGGTACCCACATCTATACTAATCCTGCAGGTACCAACTTTTACTTGGACCCTTTTTACCGAGAAAGCGGCATTCTCCGTAGAGTGTCGGACGTATACTCATTTGGTGTAGTATTGTTTGAAATCTTGAGTGGGATTATGGCTTATGAAATGAGGAGCATAGGAAATGGTAAGCCAAAACGTCTGATGAATTTGGTCAGACAATTATATGATAACAAACTGGAAACGTTACTTGATCCCTGTATAGCAAATCAAATTGATAGTCGTTCTTTTCATACCTTTAAAGAAGTTGCATACAAGTGCATAAGCCACATTCCCCAGGAACGTCCAACAATGGACATAATCATCGAGAGAATTGAGGATGCAATGGATTTTCAAGTAAGCCCTTTGATTAAATTCTTTTGAAGGAATTGTGCTTTCAAAGTCAAAATATATTTTTGTCTTGATATATATACACGGCCGGTCCAAACGAAAAGAAAAAAAAAAGGCCTCAAGGACAAATATAATAAATATTAAAAAATATATATATTATTTATTATTCAATATAGACTTGTTCAATTAGCAATAACAATAAAGCCAAATTATTTATCGTTTGAGCTACTTTGAGTTTAAACCAACTTTAAGTCTTAAAAATCAATTATGTAATATATATATATATATATATATATATATATATATATATATATATATATATATATATATATATATATATACACACACACACACTACATAGCCTAGAAATTTTGGGCCCCAAAAGCCGTGGGTCCTGGGCGGTCGCCCGGGTTGCCCACCGTCTGGACCGACCCTATATATATATATATATATATATATATATATATATATATATATATATTATGTGTTTTAAGAACATTAAACTTAATGGTTATATACATAAAAAAACATAAATTATTAAATATGTACAACACAAACTTTAGTAGTTATATGTATAGAAAAAATATAAGTGACTAAATATGTAGAGAAAAAAATATAAGTGACTAAACTATTTCCCACATATTTAGAGCTTTTCAGTTTAAAATCCTTTGCATTATGCTTTATTTTTATCGGGTCATATTAATATAATTTTTTTTTTCGAACATCTAATTTAATATAAAAACATATAATTGGACTCATTTCTTTAGAATGGGCATGTATATTCTAATATATCTCTAAATTCTATTATTGTTTCAACACTTAAACTTTCAACCTTTTAGATGAGAATGTGGGACACTTATTTTATCTACCGCTTCTTTATAAGTCTTTTTGGTACTTAGTTTGAGTCGTTATCTATGCAATATTGTCTATTCCAACATAGTCCAACGTCAATGAAAATTAATTAAATGTGTCTTATGTAATTATAAATATAGAATCACTTTTTCTTATGTAATGGGCAATTGACTTGACTAAAATTTACTTTAGAATACTTCAGCATAATTGAAGTTTTATTGTTCATTTACTGCACTTTTAATTATATGAACGATACACAAATAATTACGTTAACCTAGTATATTTACTTTAAGTTTGACTTATCTCCTCTTCATGAGGTTGAACGTTTTAGTTGTCTCAGACACAAATGGATTTAGGGGTAAATTTTATTTGTCGTTAGATTTTTTTTAACCCTTGTATGTTTATTATTAAGTAATTTAATGTTTTTATATATTATTTTAGTATTTATGTGATTAATTGATATATTTAAAGATAAATGATAACGACACTGCTTTGAATTGAATAAATATAGGAAAAATCATAGTTGACGAAGAAAAGGAAAAGAATGTTACAAAATGGTGTTCATAGGGCCCAAGTTCGAAATGATGCCGAAAACTGAAGAAACACGACGCGCCAATCACATACACGCGCATCATCATAGTTGAAGAATTCGGCGATAACATATTCTTTGAAGAATGAGTCGTGACATACAACCTCATGCAGCATGTAATGTGTGTGTGATTTTTCAACCTTTATTTAGAGAATAATCATTCTACACTGTTCACGACTCGTTAATTGTGATTTTTCAGCTTTATCAATTATTAATTTTTTGTTCTATTTTATGCATTTTTGTTTTTTTATTCTACTTTATTTTGGGTGTAATAACGTAAATTTTCAAAATAATTTTTCATTTTTAAAACATATTTTCATTCATAAAATAACATAAAATTCCATTGTATCACATGTTATCATAAATAAACAAATCCTAAGATCTCAAATACATAAATCCTCTTAGTGTGTACGGATCATGCTGGCGCCTTCCCACGGTCCTCGCTAGTATGTGAAACACATATCACATAAAACGGTAAACATAAATGCTTAGTGAGTTCTCTAAAATACCAAATACGCACATACGCCACCCAAGGCTATAAGACCTTCCGGTCACTGTGTCTCAGAGGACTTCCGTCACACAACCCTGGTAGACCTTCCGGTCCCACCCATAATGACCTTCTGGTGCATAACCTTTTGACCTTCCGGTCCACACACTATTGACCTTTCGGTCAATAACATGATGACCTTCCGGTCCATAACATACTGCTCATAACATAATATAACATATACATATCACATATCATCTATCAACAATATCACATAATCTTCATAGCATATAAGACCTTCCAGTCACACATTTTTACCACTCTAGGTAACGTATAGTGAGAAGACTCACCTTGTATGCTGTCTAGTAACTCACGTGCTCGGTATCCCTGAACCTCGTAACAATGATCTAGCCCCGCCTAAACACATAAGATATCACCTCAAATCAATAACGACTCTCTAGGGTAGACTAGTCCCTTCCAATGGTCCCTGAAAAGGCTAAAAGACTATTTTACCCTTCTAATGATCCAAAAGTCCAAGTGTTGACCAAACCCTAAAGGTCAATGAAAGTCAACTGAAGTCAATGGTCAAACTTTGACCAGACTCGTCGAGTGCACCTGGGTGACTCGGAAAGTCTAAGAGTGTCCCTTGAATCCTTCTAAGGTCTCACTCGACTCGTTGAGTGAACCTCCCACTCGACGGGTTACCACTGGAAACAAATCGCGGGGCAACCCGACTCGACTCGTCGATTCCCCATATGGACTCGGCAAGTTTCCTCCATGACATCACCCAAACGACCTTCTGAGGTCAGATCTGCTTCTCTAACCTATAGATTTGACTTCCCCATGACCAATAATCACGTAAATGTCAAATCTTCACACTCATGCAACGCACCAAAGGCTTCTAAAATGGCACCCTAGGTTCATTTCCTCCATGGAACAGCATAAAGCAGAATAGATAGTGCTCTCTGGACCTCTAAAGGTCCAGATCCAGAGTTGTAACGCCTGTAGATCTGGGCTAGTTAATTTTGAGATAAATGGGGTCGAAAACGACTTTTTGACAAAAGATTATTTAGAATAAATAATCTTAACCAAGTTGTAGAATATGTTTCAAGGGTTCCGTACATAAAAAGAGTTGAAATCCAAGTTATAACGAAGAAGTTATGACCCGTCGATGTTTAGCGACGGAACCGACATAGCACCGCGAAGACGTAAATAGTAAATTTATGATAGATTAACTTTTAGTCTTAGTAATCTAAATGAAAGTCGTAGAATATGTTACCCTGAGAACGTCCATAAAAAGAACGCCTACATCTGACTTCGTTTGAGGAAGTTATGATTTTTCGAAGTTTCGGCTTAGCGGTGTACAGCCCGAAGTTCGGGTATTAGATCGAGCGGTTTTTAGCCGACACAACCTAAACGAGAATCGAAGATCTCGTTATTAGTAGCGTAAAGATAAAAAGATAGACGTAAATGGACATCGGATGAAGAAGTTATGAGATTTTAACGGACCAATCCTGTCCCGGCCTGTTAAAAATATAACTTTAAAAATAAAGTCAAAATTAGCCGACGGAGTCTAAACGAAAGTTGTAGAGTACGTCTCCACCTACACGTGGATATAAATAACGTCAAAAACGGAGTTCGTATGAACGAGTTAAAAATTATAATAGCATATTTACGTATTAAAATAAAGTATAAATCATATATACGTACACACACACACACACACACATATATATATATATATACATATGTATATATCATCAGAAAGGTATCGACGACGCGGTCATTATAAGACTAATGTTGAGTTCTTTCGACATTAGTTTAGTACAAATATCATTAAATCTATTTAAAATAGTATTATAAAGGGGCGTTTAGTTGTTTATATAACTAAAATGTCATTAACTAATTATGGAGGGTAGTTTTTGAAAATTCAATTAGTATAAATAAGAGCCTTGGGCTCTCATATTTCTTGCACCATTCTCTTGATTCAAGACTCTTTCTCTTCTTATCCCCCGAGCATTTCGGTCCCTCGTGATTCGACTTCTCTTTCTGTAGTTTTAGAATAGTAAGGTGAGCGCCGAAGCGCTGCACGAATCTTTCTTAGAAAGATTCAGCGACGATGTTCTGCCCTTGCAGAGCCCGACTCTTAGCTAAAATCCTCTTGTAAGTACGTTATGTTTACCCTATTTTAATATAGCTTATATTTAAAATTAGTATTGTTATTATGAACTTATAATAAATATTTGAGCTATTATTATATAAGTATCGTTATAATATATTTTTAACTACTCACGGTACGGGAAATCTGGTTTAAAGGGCTGGATACGGTTGTTGGATTTCAGAAGTGCTATATGCCAAAATGGTCCTGCCCTCCGGTGTTTTATGTCTGGCCCCTATCTGTACATAGTGGTTGGAAAGTATTGTTTAAACGCTTATATAATAATAATAAGACTAATAATTAGTCACGGTAAATATTAGACTAAAATCTAGTGGTAATTGTAACGCCCGTAGATCCGGGCTAGTCAATTTAGAGGCAATAAGTGTCGAAAACGACTTTTCGACAAATGATTATTTAGAGTAAATAATCTTAACCAAGTTGTAGAATATCAAGTTATAGAATATGTAGTCAATCCGATTTATAATGAAGAAGTTATGACCCGTCGAAGTTTCTCGGCAAAACCGGCACGACACCGGGAGACGTAAATAATGAATTTAAGATAGAGGATTTTTTAGCCTTAGTGATCTAAAAAAAAGTTGTAGTATACATTAAACCGAGAACATACATAAAAAGAACGCTCAAATCTAACTTCGTATGAGTAAGTTATGATTTTTCTAAGATTCGGCTTAGTAGTGCACAGCCCGAAACTCGAATTTTAGTTCGAGTAGTTTTTTGCTTACGCGACCTAAATGAGAGTTGAAGATCTCATTAATAGGAACTCAATGGTAAAAAGACAGACGGAAACGGAGTCCGTATGAGGGAGTTACGAATTCCTCACGGTCATTTAGCAGTCTAATAACCTTGTATTGTTAAATTTAAGATTGGTCGAGAATTAGCCGACGGAGTCTAAATAAAAGTTGTAGAACTTTTTTTTACCTACGTGTGGATATAAAGAACGTTGAAAACGGAGCTCGTATGCGAAAGTTATGAATTTTTGAAAATCGGCTGATTTTCCACCCTATGTGTGATGCCACGTGTCAGCACCAGGCTTTGCCTTGGTACCCAAGTAGGCTCACGACGTGAGCATCAAGAAACTAACGATGTGAGTGACCCTACAGCCTCCTATAAATAGAGATGCCCCTCTCCATTCATTCTCACACCTCCCTTCACTTCCCTTTCTCTCTAGAACTTCTCTCTAGCCCCGAAACCCCCGAAACGCCTAGGGAACCTCCCTAGCACGAGGCGGAAGCCCGGAGTGCCCGACGGCTCTGAGAAGAAGAGCCTTTCGGCTTGGGAACGCTGCTCCAGCGAAGCCCAGTTTTGCGAAAAACCCGCTGTAAGTGAGCTACGCCTACCCTATCTTTAGTATAACTTATGTTTCAATATAATAATGTTATTAGGACCTTATAATGAGTACTTGGGCTATTATTATGGGTTATATAAGTATTGTTTCACGCTTATATAATATTAACAATAGCCAAACTATTAATTACTCTTGGTGAATATTAGACTAAACCCTAGTAGTAATGATACTAGGTTTCGTCGAGGGAAATTGTTTTAAGACAACGAAGTGCTGTCTGAGTACCGAGTCACCACCGTATCAGTTGAGTGCATAGTTACTTTCATGTTACACATAGATATGAAGTATTTTAATATAAATTACGTGCTATGTGTGCATATTGTCTAAATACTTGCTGTCTATGCTGGTTAAAGATTTTTATACATGTTTTAAATGATGTAAACTATATAAATTATTTTATATCTACAAAATATGTTGGGTAAAACATGGGTAGATGAATGATGAGGAATAAAAGATGAAATAGAGGAACATTAGTAGTATGGACCTAGTGCCCTATAGGTATACATTGGCAGCAGTGGACCTAGTACCCTATAGATGAGCACTGACAGCTGCGCCACAACTCGTAGATGTTTTAGATCTACGATAAACGTCCTAGCAGCTGCGCTCTAAGCACAGTATCGGTAGCTGCGCCTAATAGGGAGCATTATGACCATGACAGTAGTGTTTAAAGGTCAATACAGGCAGAAGCACCTCATAGAAAATGTCCTAATTCTGGCAGCTGCGCCCAAGTGATAACATTAGCAGCCGTGCTTGACCACTTTGTCATTGGCAACAATGGACTTCATGTTGTTTCCTTAGGACGATCCTAAGAAATAAATGAACGAGGGTTAGCTGATCCTTAGGGTAAATGCTTAAGAAGATAATGGGAAAGAGAAATTGGGTTGATTATTTGATGTTTAAATATAATAATTATATTATTGTGGGTTGAAAACCCTATGTACTCACCAGGTTTCCCAACCTAACCCACTCAATTTATTTATATCACAGGTGTCGATATGAAGTGACATTACACTGAGATATTTAAAAGAGATGTAGATCACTAGTGTAAATAAATGTAAGTTCTGTTTATGTTTATGTTTCTGTATTGACGATGACATCCCAAATGTTTTAAAAGTGAATAAAAATATATTTCTTTAGAAATGCTTTGATAACGCGATTATCATGTTTTTATGGGAACAAATTCCGCAAGATTTTTATTA